AAGGAGCTGCAGAAAATGAAGGACGTAATTTTCCTGCAACCGGATAAAGGCACGGGTGTGGTACTAATGTACAATGCTGATTACACCGTAAAAATGGAGTCCATTCTCGGAGATGGACGCAAGTTTCGTATTGCCCAAGAGGTTGGACAACAATATATTGATAGAGAAACAAATTACAAGGCATCTGCAAATTCTTTTGCTTCATGGTTATATCTTCGAGTCACAATATCAACAGCTAAAACCGACAGAGACAGAAACACCAAGGATGAGGGGTGCGCCGAATCTGCACAAGGCGAGAATTCCACTACGCCCCATAATATGCATGAATAACTCACCACAAAGTAGCCCGGTGGTTGGCCAAGCTCTTAGAACCCGTGCATAAGCTCCTGAGCACGCATTGTTGGAAAGACTCCTTTGAATTGGTGAATATACTGGAACAAACAAAGCTTGACGCTGAGCTCATGTATTCCATAGACGTGGAATCGCTTTTCACGAATGCGTCCCTACGTATAACGGTCCACGACTTATGCCAATTTCTTTTGAGTCTGAACCTCTCTGTGGACGTTCCCCTGGAGTTCCTGCGAGACTTGATATTGTTGTGCACTGAGAATGTGCGATTCCAGTTCGAAGGGACGGCGTATAAACAGATTGACGGCGTCGCTATGGGTAGTCCTTTGGGACCAGTTCTGCCAGATATCTTCTTGGGTATGATTGAAAGGAAAGTTGCTGCCTGCATAGGTGAAGCAAAGCTTTACAAGCGCTATGTAGATGATATTCTCCTCTTCACAAATGGTGAACATTTTGACCGTCTTTCTGCCCTCCTGAACTCAATTCACCCTAACCTTTCTGTATCACAGGAGAGGGAACAAGAGGACAGACTGCCGTTTCTGGACGTGCTCATCAAGAGAAGGACCGATGGCACACTGCAGTGCACTGTGTACAGAAAAGTGACCTGGGGGGACAATACCTACATTTTTCCAGTTTTGCCCCAGTTGCATACAATCGCTGCCTCGTAAAGACTCTTCTCTACAGGGCCAGGCGGATTTGCAGTCCAGAATCGCTCAAGGCTGAAGAAGGATTTTTATACCGGACTTTCATTCATTCAGACCCATAGCAGTCCCCCAAGGAGAAGTTGCACGTACAAACTGCGAAGAAGAAGGATGTTTATTTGTTCTTACCGTTCAAGTGGGATCATGTGGCAAATGAAGTTGGTCACAAGCTCAGGTCCGCTCTAATGATCACCTACTCTACCGCCCAACTACGACTTATTCACACTACACTAAGGATTCCTCTCCAGAGCCGTCCGAGTAGCTCGCCAATCAGTTCGGCCTCTAACATCATCTACCAGTTCACTTGCAGTTGCGGTAACACTTTCGTAGACAAGACTAGTCGCCAGCTGGCTCAAAGGGTGCCGGAACACTTCCCCTTGTGGCTAAAGCAATTGCTGCCTAACCAAGGAGGAGCGGACTAAAGAATGAACCGGAACCCTGCCTCATCTATCACCCAACACCTCATGACGACTCGTCACCAGGTGAACCCAATCGATTCATTCAAGGTGCTGTTGCGCAACAGGAACCCAACGTTGTTAGCAATTGGCGCGGCGCTACTGATCAGATTGAATTGTCCCGTGCTCTGTGCCCAGGAACAATGGAGGCAATCAGTTAGATTACCTTGGACCTGATTAGGTCATTCCCATCAATTTTATCTGCTTGTCTATGTTAATAAGTGTGGAAACTATTGCGTGTTTTGTTCTGCCTGTATTGCGCAGCGACTGACGAGAGCAAGCGAAATGCTAACATATCGCAACGTATGTCTTCTTACTGCCTTAATGAAGTGGTTGAAGGGGACTCAGTATTTCTAGTGTCAAAAGTACAAGACATCATTGCATGTAGGTAAATATTAAGCAGATCAGAAGCTAAGACACAGGCTTACTTCACGCGAGAGGTAACTGTAAATTCACCCGAGGTATGTCCACACAGCTGCACCATCGCCCGCATACCACTGTGTCGACATTTAACTAAACTGACCAATTCATTCGGACAACAAGTCTCACCCAACACCAGTCAAAGTGGTTAATATCAACGTCAGCGCAGTGCTCTCATCATGGTTTACATACTAATGACGAACCCAATTCACCCTTGTCGTGATTTGTTACCTATGAACCGAAATACCAAAGTGAGAAGACACCAGCTCAAATTGTCTACGCACTACAGTCGGCTTGGTTGTCGACAAAACGCTTTCTCCTTCCGAACCTGGAACACCCTTCCAACTAAGGTTATTCGTGCCCCTACATTAACACTTTTCAAGCTACAACTTGATAACACACTTTCCTGATAACATTACTTGATATAGTCCGTTTCACTCGTAGGACGAAATAACGCGTACTAAACTATGTGCTTAGCAGCCCAGTCCGCAACGTAGCGATGAGGATACATGCATTAGTGTCCTCATGTGTAGTTTGGATGCACCTTAACTGGATTAACTCATCACATTGGTCGAACGAAGCGGTCCATAAGTGAGCGTTGTCATTACTGTAGTTGATATTTCTCACCGAGTCCGTAAAGTACAACTGCTCTCCATACTATTTTCCGTGTGCACATTGCATTCCCACTTCAAACTATAGTTATGCAACATTACAGTTAAATCGATGGACACTTAAAATGACTATTTACTTATCCATTGATTCTTTTAAGCCTAATTTTCACTCCAACCATCTTATGATACTTGTCAAACACATACCTTTTCACCCCTGATACATCATTGTCCATTGATCAGAAGCCTGACTCGTATTGCTCAATATGGGGTAGATCACAAAAGGAAATAAAATCACTGTTTACCGTTACGCGATCAGCATGTCGGTGGCCCGAGGCTCTTTCGGCAGTTGTCTTGAAAGATATCCCGATACTCTCACCATGCCCTTGACGGATCTTTTTGAATGGTGCCTACACGGTGGAATTACTTTCATCGTTTGGAAGCTTGTCACGATAACACCCGCGCCAAAGATGTGATCCATTATGTTCCATCCAATCACCTATACGTCCGTTATGCGCAAAATCTTGTGCCTGGAATGTCGACAAGCACCCTGATCTTGAACGTGTCTCATATTGCTTACTTACTCCGACATTTCACTTTGGAGGCCGTGGCATACCTTGTTCAGTCAATAAAATATCCTGCACTCTTAGTCATGATTGTAGCGTCTTACAAGGAGCAATCCACTCTCATTTTTTATTCTCTCTATACCTTGAAATGCTTCAAATTCTTCCCAACTTTATTGGATGTAAGTACGCTGACGACGTAGTTCTTGGCAGCGTTGCTTCAACTGCTAAATCATCAAAGCGAGTTGGATGAGCTTCGGCAGTGGTCGTCGTCCCCTTCCCTTATTCTCAACGCTTTTTAATATCGCGATGCAACTTTCTCTCTTATGCGCACTGACCAACATCTTACTATGGCGAACACTTCTCGCCCCATGGTGTTAAGTGACCACAACCTAACCAGTTCATTCCCTTTTATGTGCCTTGTGTAATCTACTTGATCAAGACACTTTGACGAAACATTCCGCAAGGTGCGAAAATTATCATGTTATACCTTGAGATACAGAGTATTTTCAGTGCCCTGCTCTTTAATTTTGAAATTCCTGACCTCTTGCATTCTTATTCGGCTATATTGCCCATCTATCATATTTCCTGGTATTACAAAAGGACTTCACATTGATTGTGTGTCCTGTTAAACTCACTTCCAGATGTCGTGCATTGTCCAGAGAGCGTCTGGTTGATTTTCTCGTTACTAAGTATTTTTGTGCATGTGACAACTTTTCATTAAAGGTTTTTAATGACCATTTTCGCCTTCACGCTGATTTATCAAAACCTCTCCTGCTCCTATACGCGCTCTAAATTTTGAGCTTGGTTTTCTCGCACATCTTACCATCACCCCACCTTACCATATTGTTCTCGCTTCCTTGTGGACTTCAAGCAACTTAGACACACCACGCGTGAACGTTTACTTAAGTGTTGTGCATGCATATTTTCTTCTTTTTGCACTTTGCAATTGTTGTAGTGCCGCTGATTGTACGGCTAACCTGCTGCTACCGTGCAGCTGACCGTTGCCAGAAATGTGTTTGGGTTTCCGTTGACTTTACGGATAACCTACCTGAATCTGCTGTGCCGCCCCCAACTAGTTCAACCCGCCACGAAAGGAGAACACCAAGTCCAGCGGGTCCGAAGGATTCGGATTCCAATTCTGATTCGTATTGTGTGAGAGCATGGCGCAACAAATAGGTTACAGACATCTACTAACACAACACTATTGAAGGTGCTAATTAAAATGAATTGACACAACTCAAACGTATCAAGTTCATGGTCTAACTTGCCGTTCATTCCGCATAGATTTGCCTGTTGGTCTGTACTCGAGTTGGCTGTCCAATTGTAGATCGATCCACTATTGCGGCACGCTCCTAGGCTTGTGTGCTAGCTCTCCGTAACGGCAATTTTATGTCAATGTTATGACTCATTCCATTCGCCGTGTTAGTGCAGAATGCTGACGGTCTTCGCACGCGGGCTCACAAAGCCTATTTCGACTTGACTTGTGGCTCGTCGAAACTACTTTGTGTTTTGTTACACCTTTTCCCTCTGAAAAATTTTCACCTTTGCTCCGTCTCGTTAACATCCGATTCCGCCATCACAGTAACAATGTGATAACTCGATGTACCGCACTCATTGTCCCGATCAGCTATAAATCCTAGACATCTCTGGATTATCCTATTTAAATATCTATGTGCTACCTTATCTTGCCCCCCCCCCCAGTGTCCATTGTAGGAACTCACCGAGTCTATACGTTCGCTTAATTTATAATGAACAACAATAGTAAAACCGTAAGTTGACCACTCAAGGGACTGGACCGAAGTGGTCAACTTTGGAGATTTACTTTATCTGTATGCCTTCCAGTGGTTTCCGTTCGTTTAACAGAATTGTTCTCTGTTTCTGTCCGATGGTTTTTGAATATAGGCAAGCTATCGCTCTCGATTGACTTGTCTGGAAACTGAATTGCAGGAGATTCGTTCACTTTTAACCAAACAAGCCATTGATGAAGATAACAGCCGTCCCCATGTGGGAGAACGTGCTCCAACCTGCATCTCAACCCCGAACGAGCCGGTGCTCACTCATCATCGAAAAAGGATGATTCCAAAGGGAAACTCTGGTGAGTCACTTTGAAAAATCAATGTCTCATTAAAAGATCGTTTCAACAGTAATTCATTAAGCCGAAACTCCCGAGGCTTTATACTTTGTTTCTAAGCCGCGGCTAACTTCAGTAGAGACGCATCTTTCAACAGTCTTACTTCACTGCCTCACCTCAGTGTTTCATAGACACCACAGTATTCCAATGCGAAAGGTCCTCTACTTGCTCACCCGCCCCCGTAATGCATGACAACAGTTAGCTGGAGCACAGTACACAGGGAAAATTGGACCGAGATTCAACTTGACTTGTCACTGTGAACAGTAATACGTAGAAGAGGATGACAACTGACCAGAAACACTCAATGCAGCGGTGAATAAGCCCGTAGAAAGCGGAACACGAAATGGCGGTGAAAATATAGTCAGCAGAAACAGTGCGTACTATCGTTTCCGCTTTTGGATGATCCTGAAAACATCGAGGTGCTTGGTTACTGGCCGGTTTCTCCTTCTTAGCCAGCATGCGGACCTGAGGGCCCCGCGGCTGGTACCGCCAAGTAGAACGAGACTTATGTACGTCATTAAAATATGCAAACTTCGTGGGCGTAGCCAAATGCGGGGTCCTTCGAAATGAATTCATCTGTGCTCCCTTATTGTACGCAACGGAGAGTGGATAGCTGCGCACTTCTAAGGATCGTGCTCACTTTGTTTCACTTTTTTACTAAACAACGACTCATATGATGGAGATTGTGTGCACTGCGTCAACTTCACCCGAACCAGAGTCATGCTGTTTCTATCTTACTCAGAAGCAGATTGTGTGCGTTAGGCAGGCCCAGTAAAGGTATGAAAGTAGAACAAAGGGGTTAGCGTGCCCATTCTCCTTCACCGATTTTATTGGACACATTGGTTTTTCTCACGTGCATCACATTCTGGACTCTAACGTAGTTTTGTCAGTGCCGTAATCTTTCTGGTGCTCCACTCCCAATAGATAAATACAAATGGCAGGGCATGACTGAATACTTTATCCCTGGTCAAAAAACGACTTCAGTTATGTGTCCGACACACACCTCTATATGTCTGTCTCTGCCTTCTAGTCCTCTCTGTCTGGGCCTTGACGTTCGATTGCGTTTCGTTTGATGAACGGTTGCCACGATGCACCATTTTTTTGTCCACTCGTATGGCTAATCGATGGTGAGGACCATGTGCCCGTTTCCTCTAGCACCGACCATCTGTCTCCTGGATACAGTATACTAGAGATAGAGGTTTTTCGACTGGTAGGCACCTTGTCCACATTCACATCAAGCGCAGTCACAATGGAGATATCGCACAACCAACACAGAATTTACAGAGGAGTAGTAGGGGGAGTCGAATGGTATAGGTAGAAATTCGTCACATCCAGACTCACTCAAACAGCCGTCACACAGCCGGAAATGCACTGTACGCGCGTTTCTTCCTTTCGAGTATCTTCTGCAGTGCGCATTCCATTGGACCCTGATTGTGCTCGAAGGCGCCACTCGCCTGTTGCCAGTCCGTGGTTGAGACCACTGAGCTACGGGGGACGGAAACAACCATCGTAAATAACTTACTGGATGTGATATAGCGCCGCTCACTGTCCACAGATCTGCACGTTACTGCCATGCAAAGAACGGGGTAGCCCCCTCACCAAGCGCACTGCTGACGATTTCCGAAAGGATGAAACGTGCGTACCGTGTTTTTCCGGGCTTGTGACGGCTGTCTGAGTGAGTCTAGGTGTGACAAATTTCTACCAACACACGGTTTGAAAGAAAGTAAGAACGCAAGATTAGCACGTAATATGCATCAGCATTAGGGAACTGAGCAACTTAACTGAAGTAGTAAGAAGTTTAGTGTAAGGGTATTTTGGGGCACTTTGTGTATTACCCGATGGCTCGTTATCTTTCTGCCATGATCATGCCTGTGCAGGCGTTCCTCTCCTTGTTTAGAATAAACAATTTATAACCATCAAGCTGCAGCAGTATGTATTTGCCACGGTATTCACTTTGGGCATATTGCGACCCTTACAAGGTTACTAATGTCGTGCCACTTTAGACCTCGCGGTGTTCGCAGTTAAATCCTCATCATTTTCTGCCTACACCTTCTCCACACAGCTTTACCAGCCTTGCAGTGGGTACTGAATTGTCGGATTCTCCTTTACACTTCAACATATTATTCACTTTCGGCAATTTGACGATCTTCTTACCGAAACTCATGCACTGAACTACTTCATTTTTCATGTTCCCGATAGCTTTTATGCTCTCACTCAAGAGATTTTGTTCCCGGCTATACGAGTAGCATAAACTCGTACTCATACAACACTGTGTTTAGTCACTGCATCATGTTTTGCGGCCTCCAGTCCACTGCTGTTTTCCAATATTATGCTCCACCGCAGTTACCCTCGATCGGAAATCTACGCACTGCTTATTCTCACTTTGTGTGACTAGCATGCTTCACATCCAGCGTCTGCTCGCCTACCAAGTCTACATACCTAGTCGCCTGACTTCTTGCGTATGTGGTTAGACAACTGCCCCTTTCCATCTCTGACAGACTAAACTGTCAACGTTACAAAAATCGAGGTCCAACTCACACGGAAGCATAGCGAGGCACAGCCGAGCAGTAGTTGCGGCTGCGGGGTGACGGTTCGATCTCTTATTTTATGTTCGGTATGCAGCACGTAGTATCACATCATGCGTTCGTGTAAAGGGAAAGAAAAAGTAGGACCTGAACAATGAAACAAGCTTGATTTCAGAAGGTTTTGTATACAAATCGGTTTTTGGTAGAGTTTTATTGTGCCACAATAAAACTCTACCAAAAACCGATTTGTATACAAAACCTTCTGAAATCATGAAATCACAGTCGGTTCCAAACATATTCCAATATGTAGAATGAAACATGCTTTTTGTTTCTGTGTTGGTTATGTGGCCATCCTACTTGTTAAATGCATAGCCACTTTGGCACATTAATGCGATAACCTAATGGCCATGATAGATGAAAATATGCTTATTAAATGTTCCCCTTCGGTAACGACCGCAGTAGGGCTCGGAGCCCAAGGCTCCACAACTGAACATGGTGACCGAACCAGATGGAGGGGTAAATCCGAACAATCCTCAGCCCTATACCAAGCAAACAACCTGACTTCCGCCTGCTATAACAGCTCCCATCATGGCCCAAGCTATATTGCATGTGAACAGCTCTGTGGAGTAGGCTATACCGGCACACGGGAACACATACGCTACCGCTAGGTGTATGGCTGCATACGCTTGTGTTACCGCCTCGCTTGGAGAGATCACACAGCGCACCAGGAGTGCCACGTATGCGTCTATTACTTCACCAGAGGCTCAGGTCTCATTCCCTCACAAACTGGCTACTCCTAGATAAGTCCACGAGTCGCTGACGATCGTGTTCCAGTGTTCCTCACTACAGCGCGAACCCCATAAAAGATAAGCTGCTGGACGACCGAAAACAGTGGGATTCCATGTCTACAAATGGGCGCTTAGGAAAAGCTGACTACCACGATGCGTATCATATGCCACCCAAACTCTACCCACTACGGGAAAGCACGGCTGCTATGGCTGACGCTACAATCAGCGTAAGATGTTAAGGCGATTCTTTTGTCAGCCACCAGCCTTCGGACTGAATCATACGGCTTTCAGATTTTCCCCGATGTCCCTTTAAGCGAGCATTTGCAAGGAAAACAGAACCCTGACGGCTATCACCATCTAAACAACGAAATGTCAGTCTTTATTCCTGATGTATTGGATTCTCTGATAAACTTGAAGCTCAAGCACATAATTGCGAGGAAAGGCGTTCCCTTTTTCAGGCGCTCTGACTCGATAACGTGATCACCAAATCAATCAGAAGATTACCCTCATCCTCAAGGTACGAAGGGTGTGGCCCCAAGGTGATGAACGTTTTGTTCCACTCCAGACACATGGCGAAAAGTGCACTTGAACCGTGGCGTAAGTGACAACGTGTTCCTCTCAGAGTTGCAAATAAAAGCGTTAAATACCGAATGCCGAACGAATGGCTTGACAGTGACTCCGGTAGATCTTGCTTCCGAAATGGACCACTGCGAAGCACCCCTGTCTGTTTAAGGGTAGTGACTCACCAAATACTTACTGAAACCGAAAATTCATCCTGTGGTCATTCCAGTATGAAGCAACTCAAAGTTCAGTGTCAGCAGTTCACGCAAAAGCGGTCAGTTGCCGACTTCATATGGGTTGGCCAAAGTTCGCACCGGTCACTCGCACCCTCAGCTATACTCCTAACTTTGAATCACTCTCCTGTACGTATACCGATGCTTAGGGCATCTTCAACAAATGGTCCGAGCCGCAATCTTGTTAAGCCACGATGTCTATAGACCAGATGATGATAACTGAGACTTTGTTTAATGATGAAATCGCGGAGACGAAAATCGCTCTACCAGGTACTGCGTAAAGATCGACCTAGTAGAATAGATGGCGTAATTTTTACTACCGCAGTAATCTACATTTCCAGCTTGCTGACGACCCAGAGGTTTAAGTTGTAGATTCACTTTGTTGCCATCTGCAACTAAGTTGTGGTGACACGAGTGTGGTTGCGATCGTCTGCCTTCCTCTCTTGTCCACTCTCGCAATGGACAACCGTCTATCTTCTGCACTAAAACACTGTTCTGGTTCAGCCTAACGCTCGCCTTGTAGGGGACTTCAACATGCACGCACTAGATGTTCCGGTCTCACTAGTCGAGCACCTTAAGGCCGCACTACAGCAATTAATCGCCGGTCTATCACTTCATAATAAAGTTACTTCTGCAGATTACATATTGTTAGGGAGGAATACACGAGTCGAACAAGCCAGGACCCCATCGCCTCGGTCGGGCTATCCAAACTCCATCCGCCCTGATTGGGGCGAACAGAGAGCCAACCAGGAGAAGCGGCCAATGAACGCTAGGTTGAAGTTCCTTTATTGGCTGTAAGTTAACCTTTCCAGAGCTTTCCACGGTCGCTTTAAATATACTATTCACGAACTTTCCAT